GGGCAGCCATGTCCCGGCACCGCGTGGCGCAGGGAGAGGCGCGGCGGGGAGCACGAGGGTGGCTGGGTGCGCCCTGGGTGCCGGCGCGGCCCCGTTAACGTCGCTGGGGGGGAGCCATGGCAGCAGGAGGCGGGAGCATCCATGCGGCGCCTGCTTGTACCGGTGCTTGCCTCCTCAGCGGTGCCGGCAGCCACAGCACCTGCTGGGGCTGGGAAAGCCATCCCGGGTGCAGGCCACATGCTGCCAAGCTGCGGATGAGCTGAGCTGGGAAGGCTCAGCCTTGTCCCGCAGCCTGGCCAGTTCTGAGCAGGCAGCATCTGCCACCGGGGGTGGGACAGCTGCCATGGGGCCACAGTGCCAGAGGCCATGGGGGTGTAGCAGAGCAGGGCGGTGGGGTGGTGTGTGGGTGCCAGGGCCTGCAGGGGTGCCCTGGAGCAGGGGGTTCAGGGTGGTGCATGGGTGCCAGGGACCCCAGGGCTGCACAAGAGCAGGAGGGCAGGGTGGTATGTGGGTGCTAGGGGCTCTGGGGCTGCAGCAGAGCATGGGATCAGGGTTGTGTGTGGGTGCCAGGGACCCCAGGGGTGCTCCAGAGCAGGGGGTCGGGGTGCTGACTGTGCCTTTGACCACTCCTTGCTCGTGCCTTTTGCAGTGGGCGCTGCTGAGGTGCAGCTCTGGGTTTGTTCCCGAGTCTCTCCCATGCGGGAGTTTCCCTCCTCTGTCCCTCCCACCCTTCATTTTTGTCACCCTCCAGGCTGCACCTGAAACATGGGGGCTGTGGAGTTTGTCATTCCCAGACACCGCGTCGTCCTTCCCACTTGCCCTGAGCATGCCAGCCCCCTGCCAGCCCCCCATCAACCAGCAGTGGCAGGAAGGCTCGGCTCCTTAGCAGGACACGGGGAAGGGGCCAGGGAGCTTGCCTGCGGGGGGGTGGCCCCGGGACCATAGTGGGGCACAGTGTCCAGTGGCATGGGGCCAGCAGTGCGTGCTGGGCCCAGTGGTGTCAGAGCACGCTTGGCCGAGGTGTGACAGTAGCAGGAAGTCACATTAGCTTGGGGGGGGGACACACAGGATATGCTTCCACCCACCCACTCATCACCTCTGCTGTCACAGCGCGGCAGCGATGGCTCGCTGCGGGGGTGAGTCTCACGGGGCACCCACCACCCCAAAGGACAGGCAGGGACAGAGCGGGGCTGGTGGCAGTGCCGGGGAGAGGGAAGCTGTGCCATGCTGGGGACAAGGAGGCAGTGCTGGGGATAAGGGTGGCTGTGCCATGGTGGGGACAAGGAAGCAGTGCTGGGGACAGGGCAGCTGTGCCACGCTGGGGCAGAACAGCCCTCTGAGATACTCATTGTCCTTTCCTCTCTGGCAGCACTGTCCCAGAGGACACAGCAAGGACGTGTCCCATCTGCCCAGCACTGCTGGCAGTGACTCAGCTGCTGCAACTCAAGGTAAAGCTTCTGGGGACCCGGCACTGCAGTTGGGATGGGCTGGAGCCCAGGGCTGCTCTGCTCAGCCCCTGTGTCTGTGCCGGGGGGTGCAATGGGAGCCCTCCTGCTCTTGGGACACAGGACTGGCAGCCCCATTTTATAGCTAGGGAAACTGAGGCATGGGGCTACAGGGGGATGCTGGGGTTGCTCTGTGCTCGCCCACCAGCCTGCCAGCAGTTTGGGGTCACCACCCCAGCCACCTGCCCTGTCCCCAGCAGGGACCCCAGTTCCTTCCTCCCCAGGCCTGGATCAGCCAGTGGAGGCTACTGTTTTTTCTAAAAGACTGACAAATCATTTTTTGTTTGGTTTTTTTTTTAAACCACCCAAACAAGCCGGAAAGGCCTTTCACCAGCAGATGGGAGGATGCCCCTGCTCCTGCCCCCAGGCTGGGGCATGCCGAGGCATAGCAGGTGGGACCTGGGACC